TTGAGAAGGTAGTTTAATAAAAAATATTGATTTGTTTTAATTTGATTGGTTAAAATCTTTTCTCTATCCTAATTAAATGTGATATAGAAATAATGATGTGTAATGATGATGTAATTGTGACATGAAATTTACTAATACATGTAGTTTATGACATGGTAAAAAGTTTTTTTGTGATATTTTTATTAATAAAAAATTTAATTAGATGACAAAATTTAGTATACTAATAATTAAATCTGGAATGATTCGCCAGATGCATTACGAATGGCCTGATATTATTATTCATCTATATGAATAATAGTAGATGAATTTTGGATTGAACGTGATGATTTTAATACATATATATATTATTATACTATGGATAATAATATATTATATATCTATTAAATTTACTATAACTCTGTCGTAGACCACTTTGACTTTCTATATAGATATATATATATATATAATATTATATTCATACAGAATACATGCACATATATTTTTATATATTTCAGTAGACAAAATTGTAATAACAAAATCACATTGATCAAATCGTTTATCTAATAATTCATATTTTTTGTAAAGGCGGTGCATCATTTACGAGCACATAGGTTTTCACATACTTTAGTTGGCAAAATTATAATAATAAAATAAGATATTATTGTGATCTTCAGTAGAGCATTCAAAATTTAAAAAATATTAGTTTAGTTTAAAAATAATAGCAAATATAAATTTAAGATTTTGATTTAATAATCCTCTACATTATTTTTCGTAACAAACGTTGAATATCCTAAAAAATCAATGTGCATCTAATGAAAAACCAAAATCATTATCCTCTACATTATTTGAAAAGTTTAATGTCCATTTAATAAAAATCAAAACGATTTATATAAAATTACGTTCATCCCAAATACCTAATGAAAAAAGTTAAATATTCGGATCCTTATATAAAAAAATATCACAACACACATGAGTATCAAACAAATCAAACCCTAACTCAAAGTGCGGGCATGACAATTCTACCAATCCATTTATCTAAATCGAATATAGCTAAAATGAAACTTAAAGGTTGTATAGACTCCAATTGTGAGTGTAATGAAGCAAAGTTTTATCGTAACACTGAATTTTCAAACAAATAGGTTTGGCATAAAAAAAAAAAGAAGTGGCTCCTTTGCAATAGAAAAAACAACGTTCCCTACGATATCAACCTTCCAGAAGTCTCAGAAGAATATGGTGAGCTTTTCTACCTTAAAATGTTGTTAAATGTTCAGAGAAGACCAGTATGTTTCGAAGATATCAGGACAGTAAATAGAGTTTTATATCCAACATTCACTGAAACATGTCTTGCAATAGAGTTAATTGAAGCACTTGATGCTTAAGTGGAGATGGTCTTGCAATTATTTGTAGAGTCTACTTGATAAAATTATAAGTAGAAAAATCGCACATATGAGTAGATCGAGACCAACAATGATAGAATCCTTGAATAAATAATGCTTTAAATTGAGGAAGATTATAGAAAGACAAAGAAAATGAAAATTGTTTGTTCAAAAAAAAAACAGAGAAAATAAAATTTGCAGTCTGATCCGCAAATCCGAAGAAGGTAACCAATTATCCACGAGTTTGATTCATTTGACCCTCTAACATTATGGGTCAAGTTTTACAAAGCCTGATCATGGAAAAATAATTTTTGTGTTTTCCAAATTTAATTATTATTTTTCAAGTCTGTCTTAAAATATAAATAAACCTTTTGTTATAACAAAATGTTTAGTTAAAATTAGATCATACTTTACTACTTAATTTAAAGTCTTATAATTCAAAACATTGATCTTGAGTTTCATATACTACAAAAAAAAAAAATTTTAAAATGGATTTAGATATTGTATTTAAATAATTACATTTTTAAAATTGTTCATGCCCCCATATACGTGCGGGCCAATATCCTAGTTAATTATAAAACAAAGACCAGAGATAAGATAATTTTCTTTTTTTTGAACATTAGATAAGAGAACTTGACAAAGAAGAAAGAGAAATCGAAAAGCAAAGGCTATAAGAGAACTGACCTAAAATCTACAACAATTTTATTTTTGGGCTTTGTTCTTATTTTCAGTAATTTTTAAAACCCATAAAAGTAATATTAATAAAAATATTTACTTTTTTGTAATCATATTTATTAATTTAAAAAACTTTTTGTGTTTTTTTATTAATGTATTTTAATAGCTACAAATATATTTGTAAAGAATTTTAGTAACAAATAGTTTGAATTTTTTTTTAATAACAATTGGTAATATTTTGAGACAAATATTTTGAAACAATTTTGATGTAATTATTCACGAAATATTTGTAGTTTTTGTGTTAAATGGTCACAATTTTTTGTAACAAACTTGTAACTATTTTATTACAAATTTAATTAGTTACTTTTTATTCAATTTGCTACTAAAGCGTGAGTAATTTGTGACAAATTTACTATAGATAGTTACAAAAACCAATATTTCTATCAAGTTATTTAGGTATTTTTTGAGTTTTCAATTACAAAAAGGCATTTTTTTGCAACTAATACACTTTTTCATTATTCTCCTTACCTATTTCCCTTGAACGTCCGAAAATACTCTTCTAGTCGGACACAACTTGACTGACTCGGTATGATGGACACATCTTGATGGATACAAATTGTTACTAAGTGATAGTTACAATATGATTTGATGGACACTAAGCGATAGTGATAATGGATGAACACAAATGCGTAGACGCGGTCTGATGGACACAACTTGATGGATATAAATTGTTACTAAGTGATAGTTATAATACGATTTGATGAATACTAAATGATAGTGACAATGGATGAACATTAATGCGTGGACGCGAATTTATTTTCATCACTTAGATACAAAGACATAATTGTCAATTCAATAGCAAAAGTGTCTCAATTTCAAAAAATACCTATTTTATAGCTAGAAACTCAAAAAGTGTCCATGAACGTAAATAACCCATTGCTATTACTATATAGTTATGAAAAAGCGTTGAAGCAAATTCATAACTAAACAATATTTGTTTTAAAAAAAATTATAGCTACGAAAAAAACATAGCTAAAAAATATTTGTTTTTGTAGTGAATTGAGCTCAAATCAATAATGATCTTGTTCAAACAAATATCTAGAACTTATTTTAAAACTTTTAGATGAGAAAAAAAAAATATATATATACAGTAGTTATGAACTTGTATAATTTTTCTTCTTGGCTGTTTAAATGAATTTATAAACTAAACTTTAAATGTCTATAAATTTACATCAAAGTGAATATATAGATATTGAAAATTCTGCTTTGACAACCAAGATCGTATGTTATTATAGAAAATCCACATTATTGTTTCTGCCACTAAAAAGTAAAAACCATAATAAGTTCTACTATATAAATAGATGCTAAAATGAAATGCTAATGATCAGCAACATCTTATGACTAAACAAAATCTTGATCCACAATAAAACCTGCCATATCAATATCATCATCGCTCTCAAACCCAGGGTTCATTGCGCATCCATCCTCTTCATCGCTGTCGTAAAGAAGAGATAATCAAATCCAAGTGGCTGTGGCTCTGATTTGAACCTGGAGCACTGGGAAGTGATTTAGAGTTTCAGACGGGGAAAGAAACCTCATGGCAACGCCGCTTAGGGCTTGAAGCGTCCATGGCACGGAACTTGTTTCAAAGTTATATAGGTGGCGGCTTTACTCTCGGGAAAATAATTTGATACCTTTATTTTGGAAAATCGTTATCGGAGTTTTAGTAGGTTTAGAGAGTATATAAATATATGAATAAAAGAATTTATTAATAAATTCCTTCAGAGATGCCTTTTTCGTCAAGTTTTTCTATTTATTCTTCGACACCAAGATAGCTTTTTAGTCAAGTGACTACAAACCTTTAATAAAGACAGGAAAAAAAACTCTACCAGTGAGCTTTGGTTGTGTGTTAGTTATATGGAATATTTGCCTCTTTAGTATTCATACCTACTCTACCTTTCTAATTTCCTAAACTCTTTCTACATCTGTGTGACCGCATGCAAATAAAACCGCAACCAACGTTTTTCTCTTCATCGACTGTCCTCAAACAAGTCATTCACTTCTTAAATTAATGATTCCATATTTGGCATTTGCAATACATCAACAAAAGCATATATATAGAGTACTCTCATACCCACCTTTAACCAATCGTCCGTGCAATTGCTTCCCGAGAGCAACAACATCTGCACAGGTGAATACGAAGACCGAATCAGTCTATATATACGCAGACCTTCATTCATCGATATAGCTGTGTCCGCCTTGTGAATACCCTGTAATCATACCAGCCCAAGAGACTGGATCTCTATTAGGCCTTTTATCTTAAAGGTTCTAAGCTTCAGAGAAATATATCCGCAGTGAGAGAGAGCATATCCAGCTTAACTTGTATGTATCCTGTTAATATTGTATTCCCTACCCTTTTGGTCATCACATCCCATGAAACTAAACCTCGTTTAGGCATGAGGTCGAAGACACTAATCCCCTCTTTGGTATTGCCAAACTAAAGAAATTATATTTGGTGAATTAATAGGTTAACTAAATATTCTTAAAATAAAGGTGTAGCTTTGTACAAGTTATTATAGTATAAGATCATTTAGTAAACGGATAAAATCCAAAAAAATAAACAATAATGTTATATCACTTTGGGGAATAAAAAAATAATAAGTCCAATGCATGATCCATCAGAAATAAAAGGAGAAAAACATAAACAGAAGAAAAGAACATCATCGCAAGTTCCAAAAGTTGTATTCAGCTGCTTTAGAGTTCGGAGGAAGTACTTTTTAATCTGAATTTTACAAACAACAGACCATTTAAATTCAATTCCTAGTAATTATTTATTAGATTAATAACAAACTGACCAACTTTAATGTTGCTGATGATGATGATCATCATGAATCTCCACTGATGATACGAATGTTGAATTCATTGAGAAAGATCTAAACTCTATCACCAATTGGAGACCTGGTCTTGCATTTAGCAGCTCTTCCATAGAGAACCTACAACACATACAAATGGCCATATAAATCAATGCGTTGTGAACCGAATTATGATCAAATGGTAAACCAAAAAAAAAATAAAAAAAATCAGTTACTTTGGTGTGCTAGGAGGATTGCAGTGACCCCGGTTGTTAGGTAATCTCCGTTCACATGTAAGGTCCTATTGAAGAAAAATATGATGAGTAAATCACCTGTGATCCATGAGATTTTTACCAAAAATATAATGTCCTATCAACAACTTACAATGTATCGAATGAATCTGAAGTGCCCTGAGAGTATCCAATAGAGAAACAGTCTACCTTTACTCTGGATATCAGTGACTCAAAGGGTCAATATTGTGATATTAATATGAGAAGATGCAACAACAAGAGACAAAATTGTATTATGTTAAATTCTTTTTACCTCCGTTACAGCAGTGCAATTTCGCAAAATCAATGTCTCGAGCACAGAGTTTTTGCTCACATCCCTACCACCATAAGAAAAATAAGAAATTTTGCTAAAGAAACATATTTAGTCATTAATTGTTTGCTCTAGCAACATGAACCTCAAAAAGTCTCCGTTTACTCCAACTGTTCTTGATAGGTTCAAATACTTGAGCTTACGTAAACCCTGCAAAAAAAAAGCATTCTGGCATTTTTGTTTCAAAACATTAAAATAAGATAAGCATCAAGATTAAAATAGCTATACCTTAAGAAGAACGCAGGCTATTTTTTCACTTAGCTCAAAACCTATAAGTGATAGTGAAGCTAAATTGGGGCAGTTTGTCACAAAGGATGTAGCACAGCCAAAACTCGATCCACCTGTCACGCAGTAAAGTCAGCTTAAGTAAACATGAGAGGAAAACAAAAGCAAAGAATCATAGTGTAAGAACTTTACCAGATCCCTTTGGTTTCTCTAGGTAGAGATGCTGACATTTGCTTGTGAGGAAAGGTATTAAATCATCTAATGAATAAATAATCCTATCAAAGGGAGAAAAACAAATATTGTAAGGAAGTGAGAAAATGTGATGAAGCTTAATTAATCCAGCTTAATTATGACTGTTGTAAATAGTCTATGAGGTGTATAGCGACTTGTAAAGCTTAACATCGACAGACATCAAAGTAATAATTAAAAGCAAAAAAATGCAATGAGGAATTCATGAAACTCAAATCATACAAGGAATATGGTAAGCAGCGGGTAAGTCCAACTTACAATCCATCAATCTTCAAATCGGTTAAATTTGAGCAGTGTCTCAACGCATTGAATATGGAATTATTATTCAACCATCCGCGATTGTAAATGTATAGGCTTGTCAAAAGATTCCTTTGAATGCAAAAAAAAAAAAAGAATACAACAATACCAAATTATTATAAGATACAAGGCCACAGAAACCAGTTTAACAAATTTATATGTATGGTAAGAATTTTGGTAATAAAGCCAATACCCAAGAAAACCATCTTGATTGGATAGTGGGGCAAGACAATATCGTGAAAGCAAAGATTGGGTAGATTCATCTGGACAACCAACTTTAAGGGATCTGCACATATATATACACATCAACGAAATCCCCAGAGATTTGAGTAACATGAAAGAAAGGAGGAACACTAAGAAGATTTGAGTAACATGAAGATACAACATCTCACCTGAGTTCTTTGCCAGCGGCAAGTAGCATTTTGTGTACAATTTCATCGGTAACATCTTTGGCTGTCAAAACAATGTTTGTGTAACATACACGTTGGATAGCACATTCTTTAAACATTTTACAAGCCGCTGAAGCTTGCATCAGATCTTTTGTATCAAGCTTCGAAAATATCTGAAATCATTCATTTACAAATACATCAATTCAAGAGAAGACATCCTCAAATGCATTAATGTTGGAATATTTTTGCTTACAACATCATTCAATGCATAATCGGAGAAACCTAATTTGCTTAAATATATGGAACATCATTCAATGCATAATCTGAGAAACCTAATTCGCTTTAACCTTTGGAACATCATATATATCCACAAGTATTACGTGAGAAAGAGGAACAAAACCCTAACACAGAACATCATATATATCCACAAGTTCTCTATAGGCTCAATAACACAGGACGACGTCGAGATTTGTTACCTCAGTGGTCATTTCAGGAGGGAGTGGCCATGAAATGAAATTGTGGATAGTGGCGCGTCTTCGAGAGCGCATTCTGGTGACTAACCGATCGATGCGATTCTGGTGGCGAACTGGATCGCTAGGGAGGGAAGAAGGGTTAGGGTTTTGGCCTGAGGAGGAAGAAACGCTATGGACTCGGCGACGGCGAGGTCGCTTGTTGGGTTTTGGAGGCTCCATGACTTGAGAGTGACAGGGGTTGTTGGAAAAGACAAGAGACGCCGACAACGAGAGATATGATAGGGAAGATAAAACTCCGAGTTTCTCGAGTTTAAGTAGTTCCGAGTTCGGTTTGCTAATGAGAAACCTATCTGATTCAACAACGTAACTGTGACACGACACTACTCACTAGTAATTGTTTATTGGGTTTATAATAATACTGTGAGGCCCACTGAAGTAAGAAAAAATAAGGGCAGTAATAATACTTGACCCATTTCCTCAACAATCGGAGACAGAATCTAATACGAAGAAAACATAAAAAAAACAACAAAATAGAACCATAAAAACCATAAAACTGAACAAGGACCAGAGATAAGATATCTTGACAAAGAAGAAAGAGAAATCGAAGAGCAAAGGCTGAATTATTAGAGTTAGAGAGTATTAAGAAACCGGTTTATACTGATGATATAATGATGTACAATTGATCGTTAAATCAACAATATAAAACCTTTTCTTCGTTTCTCTCGTCAACTTCTTTTATTACTTTGCATCAATTCTATTTCTGTAACATAGTATGGGAGCATTAACGCTTTAAACCTTAATCGATCCTTCTTCAATTTCTTCCTCCACTTTGAGATTTGTGGGAATTCTGCATGCTACAGGGAATGTATTGTCCTCTGAATCTTGGATCGTAGATAGTGGTGCCTAAGCAACGCAACGCATCATGTCTGCCGTGACAAAGAACTATTTGAGAGTGTATCTGATACTTTGAACAACTCTGTGACATTACCTACTGGTTTAGGTGTTAGAATAGCAGGCGTTGGGACAATCAAGTTGACTGCTCATTTACCTACTGGTTTAGGTGTTATATCCCAGATTTTCGTTTAAATCTTCTGAGTATCAACCAATTAACAAAAGATATGGGTTATCGAGTTGTGTGTGATCAATCTACTTGTGTCATGACCCGACCAAAGGTTTAGGCATTGGCCAGAAACATCCTTTCAACAATTTCCTTTCTGCTCATACGTTGTGCTGGATTCAACCTTGTTGTGGCACAACAGATTAGGCTATCCATCAGTGCACAAGACAGATTTTCTCTCTAGACTACTTGGATTCAAACAAAAGAGTAAAGAGCCGCTTCATTGTGCCTATTTGTCCTTTGGCCAAACACAAGCACTTGCCTGACAATTACTAGACCTAATATCATTTATGCGGTGAACAAGTTGTGTTAATTTGCTTCTGCCCCCAAAGAACTCTCATTTACAAGCCGCATATAAAGTGTTACATTATCTAAAGGGCACCATTGGTCTTGGATTGTTCTATGCTGCGGATTCAGACTTGACATTGAAGGATTTCACAGATGTAGATTGAGCTTCTTGTCCTGATACTCGAAGATCCACATCTGGATTCTGTGTCTTTAGGTTCATCTCTCATCTCTCGGTTTCTCCCGTCTTCTTCATCATTACTTTGCATCATTTCTATTTCTGTAACATGAATAAACTGAGCCAAAATCAACAACGATCCTTGCTCAGACAAACACTAAAACAAGCCTAGAGACACGAGAACCAAAAATAACCCAACAAAGTCGCCTCTAAAACCCAAACAAATACCTAATTTTAAAACTTTTATGATGAGAAAAAAAATGTTGAATTATGAATTTGTATAATTTGGCTGTTTAGAATTATTATAAACTAAAATTTAAATGTCTATAAATTTACTTCCAAGTGAATATTAGTATTCAAAATTCTGCTTTGACAACTAAACTCGTATATTACTATAGAAAAAAAAACACTGCCACTTAAAACCATAATAAGTTTTGCTGTATAAATACAAGATGATAAAATGAAATGTTGATGATTAGCAACATCTAATGATTAAATGAAATGTTGATCCACAATAAAGAAGAAAGAGAAATCAAAGAACAAAGGCTGAACAAACTGAGCCAGAATCAACAACTATCTTTGTTCCGACAAACACTGATAACATTAAAGCAAGCGGAGAGATGAGAACCAAAAATAACCCAACAAAATCGCCTCTAAAACCCAAACAAACACCTCAAACTTACTTTCAAAACATGAAAAAATGTTCCAAAATGATCTATAATACAAAATATATATATATATATGAAATGAATACTTCAAAAAAATGTGAAAATAACCATTTTAACAAATATTTTATAAATATCAGCATTATCATTTTAAGTATTTAACTACTTTTATATGATAGATTAGTCAGACTAATAGCAGACTAATAGAATTGAATATAAATTAATAACAGACTAATCCTTTACATATTAATTGAGAATTTAGTTTAATGAAAACTTATGATTTGTTTTAATTTGATTGGTTAAAATCATCTATCTAACCTAATTAAATATGACATGGAAATGATGATGTAATTGTGACATGACATTTGCTAATACATTTGGATTATGACATGGCAAAAGAATGTTTTGTGTTTAATTTATTTTAGTTCAAATAATTATCATATTTCTATTAAAACAATTAATAATCATATTTAATTGTTATAAATTGTAAACCTTATCTAAGTGCAGCATTATATCTTTGATTTTATGCATAGATTTGTTCAAAAACATATGTTATATTTTTTAAAAGCAGCATAAATTGAATACATCTTCAATAATATTATATCTTGATCACATGCACATATGTGTTCAAAAAAAAAAATACTATGCATAGATGTGTTCAAAATCTTATGTTATATTTTTTGATTACATACACAAATGTGTTTACATCAAATTATATAAAAAATTATATATTGATCACATGCACATACAATATATATTATAGTAATACGTTTTTTATATTCAAAAACTACAATTTTCGATTGTTATGAGAATTGCAGATAAAATATTTATCAGAATATATTTTGATCTCCTAAAAAAATATACTTTGTTCAACAAAATAAACAAATGACGTACTATTTTCAACAGAATAAACAAACAACATATTCCTTTAATCTGGTTTTCACAGAAGTTTTTTAAAATTATTTAAGTAAGTTTTTTTGGTAGAAAATTTAAGGTTTTACTTATATGGCAAAAAATTCATGAAATCAAAATTTTGACTCATAGTATTTGATATCACATTTTTAATATAAATTTTTTGGCGAAAGTTTTTTTATGGATTCACCTTTTGGTGGGAAATTCACAAAATCAAAATTTTGATAAAATGTTTTTGGATCATATTTTTGATGTAATTTTTTAGGTGGGAGAGTTACTTATTCATAGTTTTGGCAGAAAATTTGCAAAATTAGTTTTTGATGGAAATTATTTTAAGTAAGTTTTTGATGAAATATTTACAAATACAAGTGTTTGTGTAAAATTTGCGGAATCAGATTTTTAGAAAGAGAATTTCTTCATTTTTATTATCATCTAATTTTATATCATTATAAATGAAGAACAAAAATTTACATTATATAAAATATATTACAATTATATAGCAAAAATTACAAATCAGAATTAAGACGAAAAGTGACAAAATGAGATAAATAAATATGAATAAAAAATCAAAAACAAAAACAAAAAAAAAAAATTATTTTATTTGATTTAATGTTTTTTAAATATTTTAAGTTTTTGCTATATATAATTTCTTAAACTTATTAAATATTTTTTTCACAAACTAAAATATTTTATAAATATATTATTGAACATATTAATCATTTATTTATTATAAATAATATATATTATTGTTATTTATTCTTTTTATCAAAATTCTCATGTCCGCGCATATATATATATATATATAGACCAATACAAATTAATAGCAAATTGAAATCACACCCGTGTACCCTTTTATAAATAGTCAGGTTTCGTAATTAAATTTTTAAACAGACTATTTTAGGAAATCTCTTTTAAAAATTTTCAGATGAGAAAATATATAGAATTAGGAACTTGTTGTAGAATTATTTTATAGCTGTTTAAATAAATTTTAAACTAAAATTTAAATGTCTATCAATTTACATCCATTCGAAGTTCTGCTTTGACAACCAAGATAGTACAATATTATAGAAAACCCACATTATTGTTTCTGCCACTAAAAACCATAATAAGTTTTACTGTATAAATAGATGCTAACATGAAATGCTAATGATTAAAGAAAATCTTGATCCACAACAAAGTCTGCCATACCAATATCATCATCGCTTTCAAACCCAGGGTTTATTGCCCATCCATCCTCTTCATCGCTGTCGTAAGAAATGCCGCGCAATAGCATTTCTGATCTGTATTTTACAAACACATATACTAATTAATTAGTCATTATAATTACTTTGATTTATCTAAATAAACTCTTACTACAATGTTTCAGAAGCTTAAAATTAACAGATTAAGGAAATAGATGAACCTTGATAATGAAGAGGTAAAATCTGCCATAAATTTGACATTTGATCTTTCTTCTTTCAGCTTCTCCAGAGGAAGGCTATTAAAGACAAACAGTAATTAGAAACGAAATTTCTTCTTAATTAAAAGGAAAGGTAAACAAATCGAATCAGTTACTTTGGTTTCTTAGATCTCTTGCCACCATCACAAACTAAGCCACGGATATTTGAAACGTCCTGTTGGAGCAGAAAACAGGCGAATTAGCCAATTATATGAGTACACAACAAAGTTATGCTGGTCATCTCGTAGTTAACTTTTACCAGAACTTCTGTAGCAACTTACAATGTGCCGAATGAAACTCAGGTTTCCTGTGAATAGCGAGTTCAGAAACTGGGAAACTTCTTTCTGAAATGTCATGTTACCAAGAGTGTGAATGTTGATGCACAGCAACAACCAAAAAACCTTTTTATGGTTTGAGATTTTACCTCCTCTAGAGAATTGCAATCACGCAATATCAGAGTCTCGAGTGGACTGTCTTTGAAGCTTTGTTCCAAATCCCTAACATCAAGAAAGTTTCAGCCATGATATGTTTTGCTTATAAAGAAAGACTTAGGAGGAATTTGCGCTATTAAAGTTTTTGTTTAAGGCAAACATGAACCTCAAAAAGCGACCCTTGATTAGGGTTCTAGACAGATTCATGTAGTTAAGTTTACGAGAGCCCTGCAAAAGCATCCAAAGCATTGTGGGCATAGATGGTACCAAACTAAAGAAAGTAAAACATAACAGAAACCTAAAGGAGCAAATACCTCGACAAGAGTTTGGGCTATTGAATCATTTACTCCAAAACCTATGAGCGTTAGCGAGGTTAAGTTGGGGATGTTGGTCACGAACTCTACCAAGCCTGAATCTCTTATTGAACTATCTGTTGCACAATAAGTAAAGCTTCTTGAGAGATCCTGAAAGTAAATAAAAACAAAAGCCTTACGAGTAGAAAAGCTTTACGTGGGAAACCAGAGGTCTCTAAGAATAGGTGCTCTATCATGCGACATGATTTTCTTGGAAGCGACTCGAATAGCTGGTCACAGGACCTGTCACATGAAACACCATAAAAATGTAAAACTTGAGAGAATGTTGCACAAGAAATTACAGACATCAAGTAGCAAACACACAAAAATCGAAAGCATAGACAATTGCTTTACAGAAAAATACAGGAATTGTCACATGGATCTGAGATCGTAAAGGAAAGAATAAGAAAAGGAGATTGGAGAAATTCCTGAAATTTCAATAGACAGTTGATAATACTAAGCAGGAGGCAGAATGCAACTTACATTCCAACAATCTTCAAATCGGTGATATTTGAACAAGCTGACAATGCAGCAACAGAGGAATTCTCATATGTATGTATCAGATCGTAAAGGTGTAGACTTCTCAAGCGATTCCTAGTTGAATGTGAATAGATGAATACCAAAATTAGAAGAGTAAATGCACACTCTTATAGAACAAAACAAAAAAAATATCTCAAGCAAGAAACAATTCGAACCAAATTATCACATTCAAGAGGCACGTTTGAAATGATAAGACAAGATCTAAAGTCAGATGAAAATAACAAGCTTGATATTGAAAAACTGAAACTTGATATTGAAGCCAATACCCAATGAAACAATGATTAAAGGATAGTGGAGAAAGACAAGATTCTGTAAGCAGAGACTTAGGAGATATAACTGGACTAGCAGCATGACCAAGTTCAAGGGATCTGCATACATAAAACGAAACCAAGTTAAAAACAACCTAAGAACTAGCAGAAGCTATATCAATTGAATCTCTGGATTCATTTTAGATGTTTATGGTTTCTTGAATACACAAGATGATCATCACCTGAGTTCTTTCCCAGCCCGATGGATCATGGTACGCACAACTCCATCATCAACGTTTCTCTCCCTCAGCTCGATGTGAGAGTAGCATAAAGGTTCCATGGCACACTTGTGGAACATGGTGCAGCATGCCATAGCTCGCATCAGAGACTTTTTATCAAGCATCGAAAACATCTGAAATCAAAGCATTAGAGATGAGATAAACATCTTCACAATGGATTCAGTGACATCTGAGATTTTTTTCTCAGTTTCTAACATCGATGGCGAGATTAGGTAATATCATTCTACAGAGCAAATCGATAAAACCTATCTAGGGATCAAAAAGCTGTAAAAATTTGAGATTTGGCAAGGAAAGATGAATCAAGGCCTGTAGATTCAATAACGCAATTGTGTTGACCTTAACGGTGAGTTCTTGAGGGAAGGACCATGAATTGGAATTGTGAACGGAGGCTCGCTTACGGAAACACCGTTGAGTGGACTCGAGAAGAAGCGAGGCGAGTTCGACGGTGCGATCGACGAGGCGATCCTGAACGGAGACATCAGCGGAATTGGAGGCGAGAGCTTTTTCTAAAGCTCGATCGAATGAGCGGCCAATTGAAGGCGGCGAGGATAATAACGAAGGCGACGAGTCGGAAGAAAACGAGAGTAGAGAAGAGATAATCAAATCGAAGTGGCTCTGACTGGAGATCGGAAGGGAATTAGGGTTTTGGAGGGAGGAGGTTACATCATGGCGAGGTCGCTTGGTGTTTGGAGCGTCCATGACACGGAACTTGCTTGGGGTTTGTTGAGGTTGAAGAAGAACTTGCTTCGGGTTTGAGAGGTTCAAGGTAATGGAGTCCGAGACTCTCGTTTCCGTTTTAATATTAAAAGTTGTGCTATTATTGAAAATTGAACTTAATAACAGTGCTAGTTTTGGAAAAAAAAACATGCTATTTTAGAGAATTATCCCATTGGCTAGAGCTTAAAATCCATATACCATCTTGCAATAGAATCGTGAGTCGTTACAATAAAGATCACCATGAAAGTCAAATGAAAATGACCCTTCATGGCTTAAAACATCACCCCAACTTTCTGATGAAACGCGTTATCATGGAAAGAAAATGTACTCACATTATAAGAAAATACATTCTCACCATTTCAATCCAAACGGACCAAAACTAACCTCTGTTTGTACGAATTTGTAGTGGAGAACTTTTTTTGTTTATTTTTTTGGATATAGTAAAGTCCCTTTCTATTTGTAGTGATACAATACTGACCCTAATCCGACTCCTACTGACCGATAATAGTTAACAACTTAACATGGAACATTGCAGATGTTTAAGAAACTAAAATCCAATTAATGAACCTAAATTTTCTAATTATCCAAAAAAAAAAAAAAAAAAAAATTGACACCGTTTTCCAACATTCTATAAGATAATAGACATCAGTAATATATTCAAAAGTGTTGTTTCATAGTTTTATTATTTGTATGAAGTTGGATCCTAAAAACAATGCCATTGACTTGAGCCGGTTTTCTAAAGAGAATACACTTTGATTAAACCAATTGCTTTGAGAGTCTGATTCAATTAAATTCAGAACTAAAAATAAATTAGAAATGCTAATTCATTTTTACCACATTCGTCTATGAATCTAACTACGATTTGCAAAGCCAAAAAAAAAAGAAGATAACATTACTACCCCTCTTCCTCTTCCTCCTCCTCTTCCTCTTCTTCCTCTTCCTCATCGCTGCTGCTATAATAAGAAGAACTCCCGGAAGAGGTGCCGGAAGAGGTGCCCGAGGAGGAGGTGCCGGATGAACATACCTCTCCTGAGCTGAGATATTACAATTACTTTAATATAAGCCTCCACCCAAAATAAAATAAAAGAGCTTAATAAACACAACTAAGTAATTCATGAACCTTGATGATGATGGTGGTGGTGATGATGGAAATATTGCCACAAACGTGAGACCTGATCTTTGTTTCTTCAGCTCCTCAATAGGAAATCTACAGCACAAAACAATGTCATAGATATGTGGCAAGTAAGATTTTTTGAAAAGCAATATAGACAAATCAATCACTTACTTTGGTTCATAAGTTATATTGCCTCCAACAGACACTAAACCGTGTGTGCTTGATACGTCCTATGAAGAAGAAGAAGAAGAACAACAACAATATTACGAAAAAACTACAAGAGTTACTTGTTTCACCGAAACTAACAAATTTTCTGATAACAACTTACAACGTGCCGAATCGATTTGAAGTCTCCAGCGAGTAGTGAATTCAAAAACAGCAAAACTTCTCTCTGAATGCCCAGGTAGCGTTTAGGACTCATGAGTGTGACATTAAGAAAAAAAACAGAGTGCAAAAAGGTAAAAGAGACTTCCTGTATTTTATCATTACCTCCTCTAGAATATGGCAGTTGCGCAATAACAGAGTCTCGAGTGGACTGTCTCTGCAGCTATCTCCCAAACCCCTACCATCAAACTCTGACAGCATAAGAGGTTTGCTACCAAACAATTAAAGATATCATCATTTAACGTTTACTCGCACTACACAGACCTTAGAAAGCAACCACTAATTGCAGGCATTGCTGACAAATCCATGTACTTTAGATGACCAAAACTCTGCAAAAGAATCACAATATATTTTTAGGTTTTGTAAAAGCGTATATATAGATGGGTACCAAACGAAAAGAGAAGACACATCGACAAAGCTAGAGGGGGTCATACCTTAATGACAACTCGGACTTTTGCGTCAGTTAGCCCAAAACCTCGGAGCGTTAGCGAAGTTAAGTTGGGGCAATTATCCACAAACTCTACCAAGTTTGAATCTGGTGTATCTGTTGTAAAGCCTATACTACCAGTCATAAAGTAGATAACTTTGAGCAAACCTCAAATGAAAAAAGGAAAGCTTCACAGTGGAATACATTTACCTGATGCATAATAATAGTTCTCTAAGAACAAGTGCTCTATCAAGCGACAATGTCTCGTGAATGATGCTAACTGCTCCATTGGATTTGGTATGTCAAATGAAACACTAAATAATGCCAAAAGTGAAAGAATCTACCATTAGGAATCAGCAAGATTTAAAGTGAGCAGACATTGAAGTAACATATAAAGAGATCAAAAGCATAAAAGATGGCGCCTCCAGGCAAAGTAAATCAAAGCAACAACGAAAAGGATAATTCATACATTTCAGGGGATCCAAGAACTTACAGTCCAACAATCTTCAAATCAGTGAGATTTGAACAGGCTGACAACACAGCACATACGGACGTACTATCCAAGATAGTGAGATTGTAAAGGTGTAGGCTTCTCAAGAGACCCCTAATGGAGAATGATAGTAGCGCCGATCAGTAGATTAAACACAGACGTTAAACTGGAAAGCAAATGCTCAAGCAGAAAGCTGGTAAAACCATATCCTCTATTTTGCTGTTTCAGACTGGGCAAAATCAGATTAAAATGAAAGGTTTGGTAAAATAAATTATCACTTGTACTAATTGGCAATCAGGCACATACCCAGCAAAACCATGATTAAAACCTAGTGGAGCAAGACAAGATCTTGTAAGCAACGATTTAGATCCAGCTTCGGGAGAAATACAACCAAGTTTGAGGGATCTGCACACATAAATGAAACCTGAGAGATGGATTACATAGACCAGGTTTCACCACAAAAGAAGACAAACCCAGGAATAGAAAACCTCACCTGAGTTCTTTTCCAGCCCGATGAATCATAATACACACAACTCCATTATCAACATGTTTGGCAGCCATTGTCAAGTCGATGTGAGAGTAACATACACGGTCCATAGCACACTTGTTGAACATTGTGCAGCATGCAGAAGCTTGCATAAGAGACTTTGTGTCAAGCATTGAAAAGACCTGCATTTGCATTAGAAACATATATTGTGAAACATCACTCAAGAGAGCACGGTTACACAGTTCCATGAACTAGGTATAGTTTAAGTATTCGCAGTTCTATTAAATTGATGATTATGAGATCAAGCAGGAGAACACAGCCCTAGAAGATTGTCTACAGATTCAATAAAGCGGGTAGAGAAACACGGCAAAAATATCACAAACAGATACATTATATGAGAATTCTGGATTTGTTACCTTAGTCGTTAGTTCAGGAAGGAGAGGCCATGATAAGGAATTTTGGAGGGTGGCGCGCTTCCTGATGCACCGTTCGGTGGACTTGAAAAGAAGCGATGCAAGTTGGAGACTGCGATCCAGGAAGCGATCCTGATCAAAACCATCACCAGAAGTTCTGGCGACTGAGGAGATGGCTTTATCAAGTACTCGATCGAAGGAGCAGCCAAGGGAGAGCGCCGAGGAGAACAAAGGCAAGTCCGACAACGAAAGGAAAGAGGAGATGGTCAAATCGATGTTGCTCTGGCTGAAACCTGGAGCCACGGGGAGGGAACTAGGGTTTTCGACTGAGGAGGTAACCGAAGGGCCGTGGCAAGTTCGCTTAGAATTGGGCTCGTCCATGACACGGAAGTTAAAAGGGGCTTCTTTGAAAGACTGAGATAATCTCTCCGAAGGCTCAAAATTTATGTTCTAGAACGCGACTCACTTTCACTATAAGTCTTCAACAAATTTTTCATTCCTGAAACCAAATCTAAAAACACCAAAAAGATAAAATACATGTCAGTGTCACCACTCACACCGATATACTAATGTTTGCTCAGACAAAATGGAACTCGAGAAGTGATCATTGCTACCACAAAGCCAAAATGAGATCTACTGAATAGAAAATGATTTAGCTCTGATCTAATTTGAGAGTCAGCGAGTTAAAGTTATTGGTGACAGGCTTTGTTCAGTCTAGAACCTGATAAATGGTTGTTATCTAACTGTGCATATTAGGGATTGTAAGATACTTAAGTAAACAACCTTATAAGCTGACCACTTGGGAGAGTTTGTCTCTCCTCAGTATCTGGAAAAGTGTTGACTTCTCACGAGATTCCTAGTGGAATGAAACAAAGAAAATAAAGAGCAGAAGATTAATGCTCAAGAAGACACACAGAAAAAAAACTTATATAAACAACCAAGTAACAATAGAGAAACCACCATTCTCCAATGTATTCAGAAATTTGTATCCCAACACTTGAGATTCCTACTGGTGTCGAAATACAGCAAATACTTCTCTATTTGCTAACTTCGGGAAGAATTGTAAGATATTATGAAGGTTAACCTGTATAAACAGTCTAAGGCATGCTTTGTATAAACGCTCCAAAAAAAATTCAAAATTTTCCTCGACGCTCTTAAACATCGTCACAATAGGTTGAAAAAACGCACAGAAGAAGGTGGAGAAAATGAGAAATGCCCAATTACACGAACAATCCAATTTGCGTACCAGGAGAAGGAATTGTGAAACAGTAGCGCGATTCCATAGCACCGTTGGCAAAATCGAGGAGAAACGATCAACCAACGAGGCGATCCTATCTCCGTCGAATGTGGGTATGGAGACGAGGAGTCTATCAAAAGGAGCGATGAGATGACAAGGGAGATGGAAGTTCACGTTGATTTCGGGAACAATCGGGACTTCGCTAGGGTTTTGGATCGGAGAGAAGAACACTGAATGAGACAATCGGAGTGAAGAAAACGAAAATCTCCTTTTCTCTTACGTCACCGTCGTTCGTGAGAGACAATCGGCGAAATTAAAGATCCGACTCTTTAACCCGACAATTTGAAACCGAATCCATGGGTTAATTAAATAGGCCACTATAATGATTTTAGGGCTTATATATTTTTTTTCCTCAATCGGGCCATTTAAGCCCAAACATATGCTTTCCAAGAGACACAATCCCGGTTTGGAATTCTATTAAGAACTATACCGGTTCTATTTTTTTAATTTTACAAATATCAAAAACAATTAAGTTCATCGATTTGGTATAACTTCAGTGTAGCTTGGTTTAGGTTTAGTTTATGGTTTCAGTTTGAATTCACGTTGGTTTTAGTTGTTAAAAATTATTTAGTGATTCATAATTTCATATGTATGTAAAATAATTGTTAATTGTTATATATATGTTAATATATACACACAAATTTCAGTTTAATCGGTTTGGTTTGACTCGGTTAGAAAAAAAACATGTTGATTTTGGTTATTCATATTTTAAAATAAACAAGTTTTGGTGTAAAGATTCTGGTTTACAAACGACCCATAAAGATCAATACACTAAACAGAACAATGAAAATACAAATAATATAAGAAAAATTATTAATGCAAAGCCCATTTAAAGATTAACATCAAACATAGTCATCATCTTCCACATGAGTTTTTTTTTGTTTTCAAATCTTACAAATCATAACTTTGTTTCCCAGTAAACTTGACTTCAATGGGACTAACATTTTTCCCAATCGATCTCATATTCAGACCAACACCTTCTCTTCCCGGATTCGCCTTCTCCGGATAAACTCCATCTTTAGGGTGAAGATACTGAACCTCACCATTGGGGAAAACTCTGTAAAACTGGTACTTGATCTTGTACTTGGATCTAAGCCTTGTCCCCAAAGCCAAACACTGTTCTTTCCTCGCCAGCTTCAGCAAATTCGGACCTTCTCTCATGATCGCCGCACCTCCTGTCGGCATCTCAAAGATCTGTTCTTTCGGCGAGTCCCATGTAATAACGTAGAATTCTTCGACCTGGGCTTTTCGGAGAAGACCACCGGTGCTTCCCGCGAAGATCGGAGACGGTGTGTTCGGGTCTAGCTGTGGCGGCGTGAATCCCACCGGAGCTTCTTCTTTCTTGGCGGGGGCTTTGGCGGGGGCTTTGGCGGCGGACTCTGTTTTCTCGGCGCGGATTGCGGTTTTGGTGAAGGAGAGGGATCTGGGACGGTGGGTTGTTGAGAAAAAGTGGAGCTTTTTTACGCCGGAGGTTGCGGCGGTTGTTATGGCGGAGCTAAAGATTCCGTTGGCTTGAGTTGCCATTTTTTTTTTTCTTTGTTCGTTTCTTCTCCAATGAGCAAATTGATTATTTGATGAGAAGAGAAAGAGGATAATATTGTGAAATGAGAAGCTAGAGTTTGTTGGATTGAGTGGATAAGGTGACCAATAGGATTCAACTATAAGATTTTTCTCTTACCCATCTTCTTCTGATCCTATCTGACGTCGTTTTGTCAACTTTTATATTTTCATTTTTTTTTTGAAACATTCACATTAAATACCTGATTTTGCAGTAACTAGTAAGGGAGCACCAAAAATAAATTTAATTAGAGGACTAGAAAACCCTAAAATGCGATATAAGTTACATGAATATAGCAACCTGGATCAGAGGCATTTAGAGTCGTTTTCGTGTGTTTGTGTGTTAAAGCCACACCAAAAGAAATCATTTTCTTACGATATTATGGATCGGCAATATTATAACCAACATATTTTGGGCTTTGGGATTGAATACTTGGGCTTGAGTTTAAACAAAATGATCGGAAAATGAATACATGATAGATTCTCTTAAAACACTAGCTTTCGATGTTGCTAATTCAGTTTTCTTCTTGCATCCTCAACTAATTAATGGAGACCATCATTAACTGTGACGTTTGAGTATGATTAATTATCTGATTCAACTTACAAATCTAAAAGTCTTCTCATTAGTGCCCAAATAATTGGTGTATGGCTTCGGATTGGAGGCTTAAATTCAAAAGTTCAAATGTAACCCATGCATGTGAAACAGGAATGTAAGAGCAGCTTTAATGGTGAGTTCTCATTTAGAATCCCACCATTAAAATAAATAAAAATAAGAGAAAAAATGAACAAAGATTCTTAAAAAAAAGTTTTAGAACCGATTCTAAGAGCATCACCAACGGTAAAAACTATACCAGCGTTTCCTAAAAAATATTTTAATAATATAATTAATTTTTACAATTCAATTATAAACAATTAAAAAAACAAACAAATTATTGTTTGCCATTTGTATATAGACGGCTTCTGAAAACTCATATATCAGAGTCAATTTTCGTTCTCTTTTCATCTTTTTTTCCTTTTTATGATTTTTTATTATTTAAAATGTCTCTTAGATCTCCGTTGAAGATGGTCTAACTCTCCACTTTCACATATCATTTAAAGTTTTTAAAAAATTGAAATATAATTATACAATTAAGATATTAATATTTTTATTTTTTTTTTGGAACTCACAGAGTTTCTAACCGATGAAAGTGATCTAATAAAGTACACATATATTAGCTAGAAAAGGCCCCTACGATAATGTTTTTTTCTCATATCTATTCGACAAATTAAATTGGCTGACATCAACCTTGTATTCTAATTAATACTACATCAATATAAATTATGTTTCGTCGGAATAAAAAAAACTGGTGTATGGCTTCGTTTATATATAGGGATTAAAGTTAAGGTAAGTATGACCAACATGATTGTTGTACTGTGCAGGAGGAAGACTGATACTTTCAATGAGGATTGAAAAGAAAAGAAAACATTTTATGTGTGAAATGTGTCTCATAAGATTTTTTAACAAAAGAATATGTGTTTCAAAACACTTTTGATCCCACATGCATTCATAAAAAAAGAGGTTTTTATTTTATTACAGCTGATTTCACAAATCCAAACATGAAACATTCTCATTGTGACCCAAAAAAAAAACACATTATCATAAAGGCAACGTAAGAAATATAGAGTACAAAAGTATAATAATTTATAAGTGTAAATTTTTGTGTGTGCAATGTCTCTCCATTTATGTCTTTGGCCCATTTTCACCATCAACTCCAAATTGCTTTACACTCTTTGCTTACTACCTAACTTTTGCTAGTTCTGTCCTTTAGGGTCCCAATTCAAACCAAACATGTCTATCGCACTTTGTCGAGTAATTCGCTTTGAATGTGGTTACTTATTTATCAGTTAATCACAAATAATTCATAAAAAAAGAATTGTGAATAAGCGGCTAGGTTCGGAATATTGTTTCTAAATTTGAAACTGCCACTCATTTGGTATTTTTTGTTCTGTTCGGTTTCAAGAAGAAACAATCATTGTCCATTAATATCATTACACTTCTTTATCTAACAATTTGGGTTTGGTATGATTGCACTTAACTCGTTTTTGCTTATGCTTCAGTTTCGTTTGATGTGTAAGAAGAATCAGTTTATTCAAAATGTTTTGGTTTTGCTTAGATTTTAATAGTTCACTACTAAAAGCACTAAAAATTCATATATTTGGATTAAATTCATATACTTTCCCATCCGTAATAGTTACCAATATTATACATCCTACTAGTTAACCAATGATATATACAAACTATTGAAATTCAAACATGTATCTATATAGATAGATAAAAATAACCACTACATTATCCTTTCATTTCATCGTCTATATATATATATATATATATATATATATATATAAAAAAAAAATTATCCAAGGAGAATCTAGATAGATATGATAATAATATGATAATGTCTTAATAGGTTGGGTGTTTGATGTCCAAAGAAAAGAGAACAAAACCTAGTCACCAAGATCATGTGTTCTAAAGTGGAGCTTGTCTCTCTGCCACACCAAAAGAACTTTTCTAAGGCATGCAAGTCACGACAAACAAAAACACATACAAAAAAAAAAAAAACTGATCTCTAGAAAAGTGAGAGGTCTTTTTTGACAAGACAATTGCATGAGTCTTTGGCTCTTATTATGATAAACCCCACTATACATCACTTCCTATGTTTTTTTCTGCAAGATCACATTAAGATTTATTGTCAGTGGCCACTCATATAAAAATAAATTGGTCAAAAACTTGTGTATTCTTTTTTATTGAGTGTTTGTGAGAACTAACCGGGGTGAATGCGATGATAAAAAAAAAAAAAAAAAAAAAAAAAAAAAAATCCAAGAATTTATGATTTAGAAATCATTGAGATGCCAAAATTTCTATAAGTTTTTTGTTTTTGTTTCAAAATGGAACGAAACAAGATTCTAGTATTTAAATTATGTTCTGGTCAGATACATAGTGACCTAATTTGGTTAGGAGTGTCCGCGTAATTGTGAAGATTCACACGATTCAAACACGAAACGATCTCTAACACCAAATGTTATAAAGCCTTTGTTTAAGTGTCTGAAATTGATGGAAAAGACTAATGATTTACAGTTTAGATCATCAGTTTTGCCATCTTGATTTCATCTTGAAAAGAAACATTAACAACTAAACACGATATATCGATGTTCATATATTGATTTCATCTTGGAAAGAAACTTTTTTTCTTCTGTGAATTCATTTATTGGAAAAGAAGGGATACCTAATCCCAGGTTCCATTTGTACATGATTTAAATTTTTTCTCCTTCTCTACATGAATATTATACATGTACCCATTGATTACTCAATTAAAGAAACCGGAATGGATCGATCATGATGAAGTTACACGACTTTTTGAAACAAGACTTTGGCGATGTGAGTTTGGAGATGATCACCACATGAAGCGGAGTAGTAAAAAGCCTTTGCTACATCGAGAAACGTGATGCTGACATCACGGAATGTGTCAATCTCGCACAGTACTAACTCAACCATTTGCTCCATCTCATTCTCCATTCTCCCTATTGTCTTCTCCTGCTCATCGTTTCTACTTGTCTGCATTAAAACAATTAATTATTTAGTTTTTTATTCGAGATATGATCTGGTGATTAGACTCGAACCAGTAACATCGAATGGAACAATCGTATTCAAATGATTATATGCAAGTCGGTCCACAACACATGCAAAAGAAGTTATGAATATGGACGTCAGATTTTGGGGGAAATTTGGGTTTTTTATATTATCAAAAAAACATATAAAATCCTATTCATTGTTTTTTATCAAACACAAGAGTTTTGGAAACGTTAGAACGGTCATGATTATTTGATTGGAGTTTTTCTTTTAAGTAATCTATGCGACCAACAAAATTACTAACCTTTAAGTATTGGGCAATAACATTGATCCGGTTGATGATTTCTGAGAGACGAACAGAGTTAGGATGAGAGAAGAAGTTAGTTAGGTTCTTGTTCTTCGCTATGATAATCATCTTCACCATGAGCTCTCCTTCATCTCCATCTGATTTCCAACTCTCCAGCCAATCTCCCCACTATATATAAATACATTGATAAATCACACGCTTAAATGCTATTTTATATATTTATATGAGAATGATATACCCTAGACCATTACTTGATATACTCTTCTACTTGTTTCGAATATTTTATTGTTTTAATGTTTTGTAAAACAAAGGAAATTCCACGTATATGATGTTTTCAGACCACACCGTAGGTTAAGTGTTATATCCGAGACTCGAATTTATATAAAATAAAATAAAAATCATTTTTGTTCCAAACTTTCCACTTTAAACAAGTGAGCTAATGTTGACCAAAAAAAAAACAAGTGAGCTAATTGTTATAAAGTGTAAAACGTAACGTACTGTATTTTCAAACTTGTTTTCTTAAAAATAAAATTATGGCTTAATTTTAATTATTTACGTATTTATTTGTTAAAATATTCATAAGAAAGAAATAAACAAAATCTACTATAACGTAAAAACATGTGAGCAAGAAAGAAAAAAAGAGAGAGAGAAACATACCGTTTGATAGAGAAGCTTGTTAACGTCACGACCATGAGATATGAAAAGGTCAAAGGACATTTGATTCAAAGTTCCGATTAAGATTCCGACAAGCCGACTCGCCTGAACCGATCCTGGTCGGTCCAATCTCATGCTCCTAATTGTTCATATCCATATCATTCTTTTTTTTTTATAATATAGACAAATGAGTCAATCAACGAATATCTACTAGAGCTTTCTTCTTGTTTTGACTTTTGTTAGTATTTACATTTTACAAAGAATATATTATATATACAATTAAAAAAAAACTTACACACACGTATAAATCCATTTTTACTTTGTTTGTTTGTTGTATGGGAACTTTCATTTCTTACAGCCTCCAGATGTTTTCGTTTTTTTTGTTTTATTGTTATAAGGTCACCAAATTTGGCCATTATCGACAGAGAGTTGCTCTCTAATCTTAACCAATAAAAAAAATAACGTTCAAACGGATTTATATTTGTTTGGCAAAAAACGCCATCTAAAATGAAAACTTTGTCTGCACATCATCAGTTGGATGAAACTGACTGTTTCTTTTTTCCTCTCTAAATTAGGTCAAGTGAACTTATCTTTTTATATTAAAAAATTGGCGAAAAAACTTTTTTTCTATAGTTTGGTGTTTTATGCCGCAAAACAAACAGTCTTTAACAAAACAAAAAGCAAAAAGCAAACAAACAGGCGTTACAGTCTTTACCTCAATGAATTAGGGTTAACCGTAAAACCACTAGATAGAGATTTAAATAGTACCAGCTTACAAAAAAAAAATATTAAGTTAATAGATGGACAAAAAGTTTGATGGTGAAAGATTTTAGTGGCTAAATCCGAGCGAAAACAATTTTTTATTTCATTCTATTTTTTGAACTTTGAGAGAAAATAAGTTAACTCAAGGTTAATCAAATTTTAAATCGCTATAAAACGTGTGTTTCGAAAGAGTAATTTACCTGTTATTGAAGCGATGATCACTTCGTCTAGCATTGTTAATAGACCGATGAAACTGATCGAAGAAGGTTCTTCTGGAGTCAGAGGATTCCCCAAAAGAAGAAATAATGGCTTTAACCAATACACTTGATTTAGCCCACACCATTCTTTCATGTGACCTATCTGCTTCAAAGATAGTCGCAGCCGCTAAGTAATAACACTCGAGAAGCTCGCTTCTGTTCACACCACACTTATTTAACATATTTTCGTCATACCACCTGGGTACAGATTTAGATAATTAAATCTTCTTTACAGAGAAAGAAGAAAAAATAAATTTAAATATAAGGTCTAACTGGAACCAATGTTTTAATTATTAATTTTTCAGCCACTAACTAAACTATACTATATCTAATATAAAAAGATTGCATTTTGAGCTAAATAATTTTTCTCTCAATTTATTAACAGAATACTTTGAAAAGGCTTTATTTTTGTTTTTAAAATACAAAAGAGGGAAATAAAACGTCAGTAAACTAGTACTGAGCTGTGACTAGATCATGAAAAAGGGTTGTAAATTTGCACATATGAAAGAAAAAAAACCAGCATTTAGCTATAAATTTTGTTATAATATTTCTAAAAATATCATTCTTTTTTTTTGTTTGCTTTTCAAAAATATCACAAAGTAGTTATAAAACCTCCCTAAACCACTTGCATTAAAGTTTCTTAAAAGTTGAGGAAAAATCCCACAACAATTTAAAGCCATAATTATTGGAAAAAATGAAGAGTGGAGATGCTATTACTTTTGGAATGTGTCCCATTCGAGTTGATGCAGAGCTTGGCAATTGTTGTAGTCTTGTTTCGCTAGTTCCAGATATTCATTATTGTTCACATATGGCATCCTGCATCGTCCAGCAACATTATTATTACTTTATCAATTATCTTTATAATAAGATTTATCAAAAACATTATCTTTATAATTAAAATACTTGCAATTGCAACCACAGGCAATTCTTGATAAATATAAAAAAACACACACCACATTTTAATGTTTAATTTTTCAACTCGGTTCCAAATTAGATATTTACAATTGATTTTATTCATCCAGATTGAACTCCCCTACCCCTTAGGTCTTATAAATAAACTAAATGACCAAAATGCCATTATGTCCTACACATATATATACATAGTGAGCTCATGCATGCATTTTAACAGTTAGTGCAATACATTTGTTTTGTATTCGTTGGACAATGCAAGAAATAAATAAAATTGAAAAATAATATAAGAAGTACCTATAAAGGGTCTTGCCAATCCAAACGTCGTTTTCTCCACCATATTGCTCAATATAGAATCTCGTCTCCACTCGAGGCAAGCTTGCGTACCATGGAATCTCTAACGCAAACCCAATCTAACATGCAAAATATTATAGTATTAAAAAAAAGAAACAAATACATATACTATATGCAAAAAAAAAAGCCAACAAGCTTTGTCGTTTTCCTTCTCCACCAGATGACCCCAAAACAGCATGCAGTGCGTAAGTGTAAATGTAATGTTTTTTTGGAACTATATGTGTTTCTGGTCTTAATTATATTACAATGTAACGTACCTCTCCAGGTAAGTCTTTCATAATAATCCATTTATCAAGCAACTCGTCTCTCTCTTGTTTATGTTGCAAATACTTCGAAGAGAACTCTTTGGCGTTTTTCAATATCTCTTCCTTTGGAAACGCCAATTGTGATGCCCGGTATAGATTGAACATACCGGTCACTGCTTGGTTTGATTGGCCCACGAAGCAGAAAAACTCTCCATCTTTCTCAAAGTTCTTGAAAACATCTAAAATTCAACAACTATTGTTAAACTTCTAACTTTGTTTAAATATAAAATATATATTACCACAAAAAATATTATTTTTACCTGCGGAAACTTGGTACCCATGAAGTCTTAAGAGCCTAAATGCCATGGCTGTGTCGTCGATATCTTGAACATGGGAACATCTAGCCCAACATATGCCTTTGTCTGTCCAATATCTGATATTTTATCATCACCATCATCATTAGAGACTTAGAGTAAAAATATACTTCGGTTAATACATATGGCGTTTTTTTTAAAAAAAAAAACCTGTGAACATAGTCAAGACACTCTTTAATCTCTTCTTCAAAGTATCTCGATATCCCTAACCGTTGTAACCGATCCACGATCCATATATGCTCGAACAGATCCACAGGAAAAACATTGGGAACTGAAAAATAGAATAAAATATATAAATAAGCTAGTGTGAACTTTAAAGTAGATGTTATACGTTACAGACACATGAATGCTAGTAGCCAAAATAGATGAGTCGATAAAATAATAATAAGAGGTTAAGTGGTTACTAGCTAACAAACCTCCTCCATTGAAACGTTTGACTGCATTGCGCAAATAGCCGAGACAATTGTTGTCTCGGGTCTGCATGAATGCAAAAGCGGTAGAGGAAGGAGAAAAGAGGAAAGATCCGTCTTGACATTGAAGTTTCAAGAGCTTTCCCCAATCTAAATCATGCATGCCCTCCAAACTATGCAACAATGTTGTTGGTATCTTGTGCATTATCTCTTTTGGTATCCTATAAAAAATTATCATATCTTAGTCTATATATATATGCAAGTATATTATCGTATAACTCTTTTTTTTGGCTTTAAGTGAAAGTACATTGGACCCATATATATACTTTCAAATATATTTATATAAAAATAGAATATTCAATTGTATATTTTTGGGCAAACACACAAACCTTGTTAGCTTTAGCTCTTTCTTGGCGTATATGTCTTTCAAGACCGGAGAATCGTACGGTACATCTATGTTTATTCCTCGAGCTATCTCGAGTAACGAAGGAAAAGCTACTTCGAATCCAATTGGCATATGCTCATCGTCTTCTTCTTCTAGCTTTCCGATATTTTCTCGGAAAAACGTGATTCCTGAAAGAAGTTACATCAAAATAATATAAACCTTTTAACCTACATTTTTGTGTTAAGGCTATTGTGGTTTTCAAATGTTCCAGAGATAAATTAGAATTTGTTTCCGCCAGTTAATATAAAAATATCTAATGTTTTGATTGATTATGGGGAAAAAGATTCAAACTTTTGAAAAAGAAGATTGATGTTCTAACTCATAACTATTAAACAATGTATACTTTCTTTTTAGCCCACTATATAAAAAAAGTTTGGATTTTTTTTCAGAAAGTCGAGATTTTTTTCCCTGTTTTCCTTAAAAAAACAAAAACTCGAAATAAAATTAAATTACCTTTCTGGCATTGATGCGGAAAGAGATTCCATGATCTAAGAGCAACAACGCATGCAAGTGTGTTGATGAGACGATCGTGATAAGAGAAGAGATGAGAATCACCCCAAGATCCATCCGAGAGTTGATTATCGGCTATCCATTTCACGGCTGATGGAAACGCCGGAGTTTTATCTCCGGCGTCGATTAGTGCAACCCAAGCTGTGTCATAAGCCGATATTGTAATTTCACCGTCACTTATGTTTCTCAATATCGATTTCACACTCTTCACTGCTTCCTCGATTGCAGCATCATTACTTCCAATACTAACCTATAGTTCAAAAACTCAAAGTTTGAAACTGCACCATGATACACAATTTCATATAATACAAATATATATATAGTTTTGGTACCTTTCGGTGTATAATATTAAAACTTTTTGATGTTATATAAAGCATATATATAGATTCCGGGGGAAAAGTACAAATCAAGGTAAAAGGAATAGTAAACAAATTATTTTCTCTTTAAAAAGGGAGAAAACATTATTTAAAATATCACCTGAGGAGCAACTTCTCCTTGAAGCTGTTGCCACTGTATTAGAGGCAGATCATGTTGAATCTCCTGAGAAGTAGTGTATGCTATACACATAAAATTAATCAGATGCGTAAATAAATAGATTTGGACGTTAATATAATTATTTAAAAAAAATTGAAAGTAAGATTAGACCTTGAGTTCGAAGCTCTGAACAATATACGGAGCAGCTTCTTGGCTTGTCTCTAGCGACACCGAGAGGAGATCCTATGAAAAGAAGAAAATAATTTGCTTACTCGAGAAATTAATAAATAAATAATCACTAGATTTTTTTTTTCGTCAAAGAAACATTAGTTTATTATGGTTCAAAGGGGATCTTCCGATCTTTTGTGTTTGGCAAATATAATAAAATACGGATACGAGGTCAATCCATTCGCTAATGAGTACTAGATTCTCTAAACGTACTTCTGCTAATAATAAATTCAACTTGAACCATTTATTCTATCATCATATAAGTGTAAGTTTAAAAACAGTGTAAAGACTTACTATTATTTATATAGTTGTCGGTTTTAAATATGTTTCCACGTACTAATAAATATATTATATTTAATTTAAATTAATATTATATTTTCAAGTAATACTTAATAGTATTTATATACTTTTAAAAAATAGTACAGTAGTATAATTTTGCATCGAAATAGGAAAAGACGTTCTTCCGAAAAGAAAATCCAAATTTCAAAATCAGACATTAAAAAAATATAATATGATTTTTTTTTGGTGGGGAAAAAATATAATATGATTGGAAGGACATTTACAAAGCAGAAACCCCAACAATTATTATAGTTTTGTTAAAAAAAAAAAGCAACAAATACCGAATAACACAAAACACATATATACATATAGCAAATGTGTAGTTGCGTATGTTTGTAAGAACAGAAAAACCCATTTCGAAATCGAATCAAAGAAAGGATCCCCAAATTTGAAAGAGAAACAAAAAAATCGAATTTTTGGGATACGAAGAAAAACTAAACGGAGAGAATTTGGGAGAGTGATTAATGATTATATAATGCTTTGAATAAAGAGAAACTAAAACGAAAGGAGAGAGAGAGAGAGAGAGAGAGAGAGTCATGGATGATGATGAGACATATCTCACGCGTGGGTACTGAGAGGACATATAAACAGAGTCATCACTCTGTTTTTTTTGTTCTGCTTTGTTTTGTTCTCTAGGGAAAACCAAAAAACGAAAACCAACATAAAAAAAGTTGAATCTTTTTTCATCGAAACTCAATCAAAAACGGATCATAATGAAACCCACAAGAGAATTTCGATTACAAACATAACAAAAGGTGGAGGATTGGAGGATAATATATAAAGAAAGACTCTGTTTTGGTGATCATGTTTGTCTGACAAGAGAGAGAGAGAGAGAGAGAGAGAGAGAGAGAGATCACTCACCTGAGATCTTAAGGAAATAAGAAGAGAGAGCTGAAATAGAAGGAGGAGATATTGTTGTTTTAGTACTGAGAAAGTTGGTACTTGGGATAGTGTTAAGAGCATAAAATTGAAGAGACATGGCTTAAAAGGTTTGGTTCTTTCTCTGTTTCTCTCAAAGACTTAGTGAAGAAGAGAACATCTCAGTGATGGTGAGAAATTGAGAAACTAGAGAGATGAGTATTTGTGTGTGAGAGAGAGAGGATTTACTGGGTATATATAAGGACAGAACCGACTTCCCATCACAGATTGTGTCTGATTGTCCTCTAGAGAGAGGAGAGAGAATAAAGAGGGAGATTGGATGATGCATGGAATGTGTTTGTGTGGGATCATCTTCCATAGCTATGAAACTGAAGGGCAAATTTGGCTTTTTGTTCTAGTTCCCATTCTCTTGTATACATCTCACAACTTAATTTTCTATATAATAAAATAAAAAAAGATTATGGTACAAGGTCGATATCTTCGGAACAAAGTACACCTGCGAGGGCTTACTTCTCTCAATCATATCATATCATATCATATCATATCACAGACTGTTTTTACAAATAATAATACTATAGGTAACAATTTATTTACACATGTTCGCCGGGAGAGGTAAAATATTAGCTGGTAAAAGAGGTCAAATATTAGCTGGTAGATTTGGTCGTGGCGTCGTGCGACAAGTCATTCATGTTACAAGAAGAAGTAATTAATAAATAAAACATGTGTCAAACAAAAAAAGTATTTATAAGTGTATTTCTTTTAATTATATTTGGTATTTATCTCGTGACTAATGCAATTTTCACGAGTGTTGTTCTTCGTCCTTTTAGACCTTGCAATTCTTGTTTCCCTCCACTTTTCTCCATTTGCCATATGGATTACATTATTCTTTTTCCTTAATTAGATTTATAGGAAGGTGATAAAGCTGAAAAACAAGAGCTACAAGATGAAATTAAACGTGTAGTACTACAATCGCTTTTTCCAATATTTGAAATCTGAATCTTTAATTATTCAGATAGGGTTGAGTTTTTTTTTTCTTTTTTTGGTTACACGACACGTATTTTTCAGTTTTGTAGATATGTTTATTTCATGAAAACTGCAAACACAGCAAAGTACCAAGATTAGAGTCTCACTCTTGAATCAATTAGATTTCAAAACGTCATTAAATTATACATTTGTGTTTTTTCACAGCCATGAAATTAAATATACATTGTTTACCAATATAGTAAATTGTTATATAAATTTTCATATTGTTTTAGAACATATTTATTTTAAAATAAATAAAATCAAAGAAACACACGTGATACTCTAAAAACTCAGATTCGACTACACCATATAAAAATGACATTTCTCTGTTACAAAATAAAAATTATTTAATATTACGTTGATCCAAAAAAATATAGTAAATTGAGAAAAATAAATACTATACAAATTTTGCATACGGTGTTTTTTGTCAAAAGAAAATCTTGCATACGGTGCATGACTTTGACTAGTGTCCATTAAATAGATAAGCATCGGCTAATAACAGTAAAAACAAACCAATACATATCTTTTTGGCACTGCTTCAATCTTCAAAAACCAATTAATTTATTTTTTAATCAACCCCACAATTAAGCTAAAAAAATGAAATAAGCATTGTAAAACTTTTATAAATTAATAAAATTGAGATAATACAGATTATAAATTTATAAATTGATTATTTGATTAATAAATTAATTTGAAATTGATAAAATATTAATTTATCAAAGTTCTACACAATCTAGAAAAACAATTTACAGAAATATTGTTTAGTAAATTTAGTTTTAATAGAGTAGAAAATTATACAAAAATATAAAGGAATAAAATAATGTTTTTGGTAAAAATAAAATTAATTTAAAATTTATAAACTGATTTTTTTCATAGTAGTCTAATCTTTAAAAACAAAATTATTTTAATAATCCTTACAATCAAATTAAAAAAAAACTCATTACTAATCCAATTCAGACATATTTAGCAAAAGTTTTAATATATCTATTTTTAGAAAAACGATAATATAGGAAATAGGAAAATTTATAAAACGATAAATTTAATGAAAAGAAAGGAAAATAACGGTCACGAAAGCCAAAATCCGTCCAAAAAGTTAGGAAAAAAACAAAATCTGTCCAAAGAATTGAGAAAAAAAAAATCTATTAATTATCTAAGAAAAACAAAATCCATCCAAATAATTAGGAAAAACACATTCGTTCAATCTTTAAACTCCAACTTTCTCGTGAACCTTTCAATTAAATTAAAAAGTGATCATTGTGGATAATTTGATTCAGAAAAAAACAATTTACATACAAAACAAAAAGTTATAACATTCTTAATTCTACAATAGCAAACAAAATGGTATGTATGAGAATTTTAAATATGGAATTGTTGAGACCAATTTTACCACGTCCAATGAGGATTCGACACGTGGACACTAAATTACCGACACACGCCATGCTAACTCGGCCGAATCGTTCCGGCACACTGTTTTCGGGCAGTTGGTGAGCATCTCAAAACACGCAAGAATCATCAGTCCACCTGCTCTCCTGACGCGCCAAATGGAGAAGATAGGACAAAGAAAATACTAGTATAAAAGGAGAGAAATCACCATACCAGGAGGGAATCGGCTCGGCGGATCTCAAACTCCTCTCAAGAAGGAGGTACCCGACCAAACCGAGTCAACTCGCACTGCCGAACAACATGATCAAGGGAGAACCCTATGTTCTCCCGAGAGAATGGCTACTAGGATAAGTTCTTCTCGACTCGGAACTCTGCCTTTATACTTGCCGAACCTCCTTCTTTCTGTGTAGAGCCCCTCTCTAAACACTCGTAAACAGATAGATGTCTCGATCCTCGGATGAGACTTCTCAGTACTCTTTCCCGGTATGGCGTTCATTGACTTGAGCGTCGGAGAACCTTTTGGAGGGAAACCCTTTTTTGGTCTTTCCGGAGGCCCGATTGACCCTTTGCGTAGTATTTGTAGGATCGCACATGTCGACTTCCCCGTAGCCAGGGTTTAAGCAGGCTTCCGCCCCGGAACGACTCGTCGCTTTTCCCTTAGAGGACAAAACTTGGAGACACAGCTCCACTCTCCGGACGAATCACACACCCCCACATGGCATTTCAAAATTTACTCTCAAACAGAAATTAATAATAAAAAAAAAATTTGATATTAAATAAAAACACAATTCGTCCAAGAAATTAAAAAAAAATCTGATAATTTAAAATTGTTAAATCATTATAATCATCATAAAATAGTATATCTTCAAAATGTCTTAAAATAATTCACTCGAAAAGTTCAAACACCATATAATTTAAAAATACAACCAAAAATGATACTTTTCATCATAGCTTGTAGACATACAAAATAAATAAAAACAAAAAATCAATCATATCTAATTCTAAAAATATATACAACATAATATGTACACTAATCTTGAAAACAATAAATTAAAATATAAAAAACGAAAAAGAAGATAACAATCTCGTGAAATACCTAATTAGTTAAATAAATTGATAAGAAACACATTAGTTCAGCTTCAAAACACCCAGTTTCTAAAAAATAGTTCATGATTGATAATTCAATTTAAGAAAGAGAATTTGAATAAATAAATAAAAATATTTAATTATAAAATAATGGACAAAATAATATATATATATAAGAAGTTTTTAAAATATAAAAAGGAGTGAGAAGAAAATAATAATCTCAAAAATATCCAATAATATAAAAAGTCACACTAGTTTAATTATCAAACCCAAGTATGTTTTTTTATCAATCTAGTAATTATATTAATGAAATAAATTTTAACTGATAATCAAAATTAGAAATAAAGTTACAGAAAAACTAAAATTTCAATATTTTTAATTCAAAAGTATTAGATGAAAAGGTATGTTAGATCATTTCAAACAAGAAAAGTGGAGAAAGAAAAAAATAGAACTCATTCAAGAAATTGAAAAAAAATCCAAAAATTTAAAAATGTGTAAAGTCAAACTAATTATTTTGATATAGATACTCTCACAAAATCTAAAAAACAAAACATTTGTATTGTTCAAAAACTATTTGTTATTATTTGTCTATTAGTAAAATTGGCATTTTTGTTTTGTTAAAGGATTTGTAAAACTGGCACTTTTAAGCTAAAAAAATGTTTCATTTGAATTTTTTTGCTATATAATTAGTTTACATATATTAAATACCAAAAATTTACATTTTTGATAAGGAATTGAGTTTATAGTTTGGAATACATTATATTAGATATCAAAATAAATATATATATTTCATTGAATAAATAAATTTTTGAAGATCATCCTTGGAAAAGGAAAAGAGAGAGAAAATACAGTATATGAGAAACTTATTTGGTTATGTATATATGTATATTTATGATTTGCTGAATCTATTTATCTTTAAAATTTAATCTAATTATTGAATTATAATAATAAAATATTAACAAAATATATTTAAAAAAATATTTATTGTTGAAAGTGCTCTAAATTTTTAAAGTAGCGGGTGAGATGTGAGACAAAACAGCTATTTCCTATCTCAACATTTGGTCATGATCCAAATCCGGACCTACATTCATGATTTGTACGAAAATTTACCCATATTTTATATTAGCAAAAAATAAATACCTAAATTTTAACAAAGTGGTTAAAATAAACATTGACTTTCATTTTTCTAGTCAACTATTTGATAATGCTGATATGACCATGACCTGTCTATTGATACAGTAAAAATAAAAGACCAAATTATTCTTTTTTTATAAAAATGTGACATATCCAATGAGTCACTAAAAATAAAAATATAAAAAATATAAAAAATAGACTCACTTATTTTTTTTTTATAACTTTAACCGAATTACATAATATTATCTAAATTTATAAGAGAAACACATGTCAGAGATCGTTTTAATTTTTTTTCTGAACTAAATTTACAATGAAAATATTATAAACAAATATATTTACATGTAAAGTTTAGTGATCAAAACATGTTAATAAATCTAACCAGCAACATTATCCTGACTCGACAAAAATTATTAATGAATTTTAGATAAATCTGATGACTCAACTAAGTTAAATCAATTTTCATTTTAAAAAAAATTAACACGTCATTATATTTATTTTATAAAATAAGCTCAGGCTATTTTGTTATTTAATATATTAAATTATATTAAAAATGATATTAATCTATTAAAAAACATAGATTATAGATATTTTCTATTTTTAGGATCAAATAATTAAGTTTATAGAAAAACATAACTAGGTAAATTTATGTGTAAAATATAGTGGTTCAAATACGCTAGTAAATCTAACTTGCTATATAAAAAAAGTTAGAAGATAATTTGTTTATTCTATTAAGACGGTAATCTATTTATTCTATAAAATAAAAAAGTTTATATAAAATTTTTAGATTTAATTTTATAAAAAAATTAAATTAATAATTTTGGGTGATCCACTAAACGCATTAATTTTTTTTTTACAAAATATTATTATATTTTTATTTAATTTTGTTAACTGAGGAGATACGTCATGGCTAGGTTAACATTATCAAAAAGTTGACTAACAAAATTTAAACCAATATATATTTTAACCGTTTTATTAGAATTTAAGTATGAAACTTTTAAAAATATAAAATATGAATGGGTTTATGCATAGAACATAAGTGTAGGTTCAAATCTAGACCACGACTAAATGTTAGGGTAGGAAGGGAAAGTAGCTACGATGAACATAAACTTTTTGTATTTTTTATTTTGATATTTTCTTATATATTTTAACATATATTATTCTACAAGTGCCATTTATTTCTATTGGGAGTTTATTTAATCTGTGCCGTTTATAAGGAATGAATCATATAATTCTGTTGTAAAACCCAAATTTATATTTGCAATTTTAAATGTACATGGTGTGGACTTATTAAATTTTAAATGTACGCGATTTGGACTAAAACTTTTTATTTTTATTTCCAACAAGAAGATTAGCCTGCATGCATACAGGCATGAACAATTTTAAAAATGTAATTATATAAATACAATAACTAAATCTATCTCAAATATTTTAACTTTTTATAGTAATAAAAATCAGACCCATTGTTAAAGTTTAGTGCTTTAAATTTTCTTTGCAAAAATATGGTCTAATTGTAATTAAACATTTCAATATAACATAGAGCCAATTATATTTTGAGACAGGCCTGATAAAATAATTAAATTTGGAAAAGTATACAGATTTTATTTTTTTCTGGGTTGGGCTTTGTAAAACTTGAAGTTTAATGCTGAAAATTTGTTCTTCTTCTTCGTCTTCAATTAACGCTGTAAATTTGAAGATCATCATGAGACAAAACTGTAACTTCTTCATCTTCTTCATCAATTTCTGCAGTGATTTAGCTATCAAACACTATTTTTCAGCGATTCCGCTATTGCTGGTCTCGATCTACTCACATTACCTATTGATTTCTTCTCACGATGGTGGTCGATTGGAAATTAGAATGTATCAGCATCAGACATTTTGCTCCTACTTAGCTTCGAATCTTGGTCAGACACGTATAAAACTTTCGAATACAAGTATAAAATCTTTAATTTCATTTTTTCCTCTAATTTTTAGAATCAATTTTCCAAATTACTAAGAGAGTAATCGTCTTCTCTCAAACGTAAGCTTCATCATATTCTCTTGTTATTGTGATCTCATGCTATAAAATGAAGTTTTGGAATTTAAAATATGAAGTTTGGATGATTATCATATTCGTCAAAACTTAATTACGAAACAAGTCTCGTGAATGATTCACATGTATTTGACAAAATCATTAGGCAAAAGAGCATGAAACAAACTGAAACTTTGAAAATCTAAGAACATACATTTTTTTAAAAGACAATCTCAAACATTTTTCTACCCATCTTTAACGTAACAAAATTTATTTATGAAAATGAGTTTGTATTACAAAAAAAAATCCTAAATAAAATATCTTTACAACTTAAAATCATAAATTGAAATCGTAGAAGCAGAAAGTTATGCATGCCTTTAATAATATATATAGGATTTATAATTGCAAATCTGTGATTAAACACTGAAAATGATAATTATCTGAAGTAAAAAAAATTAAACGCAAAATCCTCTTGCCATGTTATAAACCACATGTGTTATGAAATGTCATATTATAATTACACCATTATTTCTATATCACATTTAATTGGGATAGATGGAAGATTTTAACCAATCAAAATAGAAGATTTTTTTTTGACAATTCTTTGCATCTTAATTAATTGTATGAAAAACACGAAACAGTAAAATAAAAAATAACAAAAATGTTAAAATCTGTTACAATCTTTAGGATTTTGGATTAAAAAAGATCCAACCTATATGTTTTCAGAAGTTAGAGCGGATATATTTTGCATTTCAATTTTCAACACATAATTTTTCAATTTATTATTATTTTTTTAAATAAATCGATGCTTTTCCAATCGAATCATCTGACCCTAACAATCCAATTGTTTAAATTAAGCAATAAAACAACTCTAACTTTAGCTATATAAAATCGTAACATTTCATTTAATTGAAACGGTTATAGCGTTATAGACCATATAAATATTCGGGATATCCGGTTCCGATGTATCTGTTTCTATAACTAATGTTTGAATTTTTATTTTAGTTCCTAAAATTACTTAAAACTATCCAAATTTCATTTTTTAAAACCACTCGTAATTATCGAAAATATTTGCAAATGGTCATTATTGCTCAGGGCTTATGAAAACGTTATCACCGTTCAGGACTTCCAAGTTATGTGTCACAGCCCATGATCGAAATTAAGCCCAATAAAGACCCAGTCAATTTACAAGCCTTTTTAGAGAGTGACGTCATATATAAATTATACGTCACAGGTCACTTTTACTGCGATGTCGAAAGTCGAAAGTCCAAAACAACTCCGACTAGATTCGTTGCTTTGAGAAACGTATTCTGGTCTTCCGATAAGATTCCGATCTTCATTTCCCAAAGGTTTTCCGCAGAAATCAGTGATCCGAGCTTCAGGAAATACTCGATTTGCATCTGCGATGTCGACCCCTGCCGCCGCCTCCGTCGTCGCCGTCAGCAACTCCGGCCGAGGATCGATCACTCACGACATGGATTGTCTCCTTCTCGGTAACTTCATTTTTTCGGTCTTTTTGCCCTTTGCTTTGGGTTGACTTTTGTAACTGGAATTGTTGTCTGTTAGGAGTGATTTAGCTTCCTTTGTATCGATTTCATGAGGTTTTTTTAATGCAGTTCGTCTTTTTATCACTGTAACGCTGATTTGCGAAACAAAAAAAGAAATGTTTGAATTAGGAAACTTTAGGCTATTTTAAGCATCTGACTTTGTCTAGTTTTAGAGCTTCACTGTTCTGCCAAGTCTTTAGTCGAGAAATTTAGCTGAGCCCTTTCTCAATATTGATTCTCACATGACCAAATACACCAATTTGTGAGATTACTATTTCTACAAATAGTAAAAGATGTGTCTTGCTGGTCTCCAAAACTAGAGGCGATTGAGTTGAGCATAGCTTATGCTAATTTTGTCAACTGTTTGCAGAAAAAAATACAACAAAATGTTTGACTGGTCGTTGAAAGCGAAGATGATGTGAAGAAAAGCGATAGAAGCTGCCACTGTTTTCGTTGAAGAATGTGGGATTAGTGACACCTCAAGAGTTCATCGTAGAGAGAGAGAGAGAGAGAGAGAGACAGTCAATGTTGCAAGACCCCTTCCCGACAAGTGACCTAATGTTTGGTACAATCCACTAAATACTGAAGAATACAACCCATAGCCTTCTTAAGCTTGAAGTTTGATCTAAAAACACAAAGACACGGTGAGCTTTTTGAGACGGTCCAGAGGTGAAGCAAGGGGTAGGAGAAGATGCTCCTTGCAAAGTCATGTAAGTGGGTTTCTTGTAATAGAGTAATGGGGTTTTCTAAAAACGACCATAATCTTCTTCTTGTTTCATGTACCTCCCAGCTTTCATGCACACCACCATGACTTCCTTCAAGCCCACAATAACCTGTTTTACCAAGCAATTTGTTGTGGTTTTGATCGCTATATTACATGTAAAGTTGAGTACGAGATCTAATTACGTCATTGTCGTCAAGAAAAAAGTTTCGAAAAAAGAGGCATCAAACTTTGAGTGAATGAAACTTTCAAGGCATCTAAAGTGTTGTTTTTTGGCATGAAATCTCACATATGAACGAAATAACCATTCGCACGTCAACATATACAAGAATCTTCTTGATGAGACTGCCTCTCGCTCTTCCCTTGCAAGAATCTCTGAATTCTAAAAACTGACTTAGTACAACGCAGTTTCTTAAGACTGATTCTTAAGAAAATAATTTATTAAAATAAATGAAAACTAAATTAAATAAGAAGAAACGTCTCCGAATTAGGGGTTGGAAGAGTCGGATTTTAATGAGTACATGTTGATATTTGATTGGGAAACAATTGAAAAGATAAAAAAACAAAACCTCCGAAATCATCTTTCTCCTTCCTCTTTCTCTACGCCTTTCTTCTCTGGTGCGATTAACTGTATTCTCTTTGATTTCTTCCCTTTCTCTCATTCTACGATGCTATTTAATGGATTCTCCTATGATTTCTGCTTTCCTTTCTCTCCCTCTAATCTTTCTGCGATTCTGGCTTTGAAGAATCTCGAAAGTTATTGAGAAGTTGATTAAGGAGTTTGCCAAATCCCCTTAAGCAAATCATCCAAAGGTTCGTGATTTGATTGATTATTTAGCATTCGTGATTGACTTGCATGTTTATATTCTGTACAAGCATCTAGCTTTCGATATTGGATCGTTTTTTGCCCTCCTATTTGTTGACGGAGCTTTTGATGCGAGAGGTTCGCGACTCTACTGGAATCCGCAACATCATCCCGTGATCTCAAAGGAGGTACGCTCTCGCAATCGGAACTCTATCTGCTACGCTCTCGCTCTGAATAACTGTTTCTATGGAGATTTTCCGTAGAATTTCCGGTGACTTTTGTTCGACTTGGAATCTGGATAATGTTTTCTTCTTATTTGATTTCTCGTCTTGATTTTTGAAGCTCGTTGGATAGGGATTCATGTTTATGGGAGGAATTTATAACTAGTTTAAGGAATGTATGGTTGAGTTTTTAGTCGCGTAGATATTTGATGAATCGAACCGCAAAAAAAGCTACTGAATCGGATTTTCTGTGATGCAATTCTTCTTTGTATTTCTAACTTTGATTTCTCTGTGGTGCGAATTTTTTCTTTTGCCGATTTTGCTTTGATTTCAATTTTTCTATTGGCTTCCGTTCATAAGTCTTTAGAATTTCATCACAAATGTTGCTTTTCCGTTGACTCAGTATGTCATATGTACTAATACTCCATCTTGCAGGTCAAATGTTGCTTCGGTGAAGACACTCCTCCAGAGAAAATCAAGTATGTGGCTTTATGGCCTCTTTCTTTAGCCTAAGCAGTGTACATATGCAAAGCTTTGACTTTAGCTTCTTTATAGTCATATACAAACATTGTAGAACATAAGTTTTGTTAGTCGTTTGAGAAATCTTAGGATTCTGACACTTGTTCTTCTGTTGATCATCAGATGCTCTATGTGATCAAGGACGGAGTTTGTGAATTGGATCAGTAGTGTAACAAGCTCACCAAGTACGGTGAAACAGTCTCTTCTGTCAAACAAAATGACAGTCTCAAGGTTCGATTCTAAACAAGCAGTCTCCTTGAAGAATAGTTTAATGAAAATTTATTTGGGACGTTTTTGATGGTGTGACTTGAGTTCTTAGATAGAATAGTCTCCGAATTGAGAAGTTTAGATAGGTTTTCTATAAATAGAATGGTTGTTATTGGCAATTTGGAGTCTATGAATTGGATCAATGGTATACCAAGTTACTCAAGTACAGTGAAGCAGACTCTTCTGTCGAACAAGATGATAGTCTTAAGGTTCGATTCTAATCAAACAATCTTCTGATTTGGGACGTTCTTGATGGATGAACATGTCTGAATCTGTTTTTTTTGGCATAAATGCAGTCAGAAGAAGGTTTGAAGATGGATAGTATCCGCGAGGCATTTGTGGTTGATGTATCAACTGCCGAGCTCTCTTCTCAAGCTGTGACTGCTACTACAAGCTACTTTTGTCATCCTCGACATTCATAATCTCTGATCATCATCATAAGTGGAATGATCTCTCTCATGCTGCAAATTCACCAAAAAGCTTCTGTAGATACTATTAGCTATATACATTGTTCCAGTCTCATACACATGTTGGTCCATATGCTCTGTTTCGTGCTTTGTATATAATCTATTCTAGATACATATTGACATTGTTGAGTGTTCCATTGTCATTTATACTCTTCTTGCCTCATTCTTTAAAATAACTTTTATTTCCAATTAAAATTTTTTATTTTTAAGGATCTTTAATAAGATTTTAGCATTGGAGCAGAAAAAATAAAAGTATCTTAACGAAAGTTCTGAACATAATTTTTTAATTAAATATTAAGTAAAAAACTCATTATCTATTATTGCATTGCATAATGCAAGATTATTTACTCTAAGTCATTGGATCATAATTTTTATCGACAGAGAAAACAACAGACAGAATTCTTGTGATCCTAACTCCAAGGGAACAATTGGTGCAATCAAATTGGAAAAATAAACTTTACCATCTTCATAGAATCTTCCTTATATTGCAACTAATCAAGATAATTTGGTTTATCAATATATTTGCTTTTGGTCTAAACACCATCAATCGCAAACCAGAAATTCACAAAGCTCACGATTATTTACGGAGTTGTGAAATATCTATCACGCCGCCCAACTGCGTGTGAAAACTCTATAATTTTTATTTTCCTTTTTCTTTTTTTCCCCAGTTTTTGGTAGACTTTGCTTTTTTTGTTTTCTTTATATTTTTCCTCTTTTCCAGGTGTTGGTGGAAGGATCTAGAAACCTTACGAGCGCCCACTATATAACCATTGTTCCTCCCTTCACTTGAACCCTAGATTTTGTTTTTTCCTCCTTCTGTTTCAAAGCCTAAGAAAACTCTTAATCAGCTCTCCGGAATCATCATGTCGGACACCGAGACGTTTGCCTTCCAGGCTGAGATCAACCAGCTTCTCTCCCTTATCATCAACACCTTCTACAGCAACAAGGAGATCTTCCTTCGTGAACTCATCAGCAACTCTTCCGATGTGCGTTTCTCTCTTTTTCTCTTTCCCCTCTTTAGGTTTTTGTATGTTTCGTCATTCTCATTGGTTTTACTCGTAGATCCATTGATGGAGTTTTGTTGCTTAGAGTGGATTTCATTAGGTGGATTAGATTTGTAGAGCAAATTCATATAGCGCCCTATCAGTACTTATGATTAGGATTAAGCCTCTTTTAATCGTCTTCAATCCATCTGGTTGATAGATCTTTTGATTTGAAATCAATCGAATCTAGATAGATTTGAGATCTGTTTCATCATAATTGTTTAAGCAGGAGTATCTGATATATTGTTCTCTTTTCTGGTGAATAGGCACTGGACAAGATTAGATTCGAGTCTTTGACTGACAAGATCAAGCTCGATGGCCAGCCAGAGCTCTTCATTCACATCATCCCAGATAAAAGCAACAACACCTTGACCATCATCGACAGTGGTATCGGGATGACTAAGGCTGGTATGTAATGCGAGTCGTCTCTTTGTTTCCTACTGTTTTTTTATCTAAGCTTTATATTGTGTGTTGCTGATACTTGGCTTGTTCTTATGTACAGATTTGGTTAACAATCTGGGTATAATCGCTAGGTCTGGCACCAAGGAGTTCATGGAGGCATTGGCTGCTGGTGCCGATGTCAGCATGATTGGTCAGTTTGGTGTTGGTTTCTACTCTGCTTACTTGGTTGCTGAGAAGGTTGTTGTCGTCACGAAGCACAACGATGACGAGCAGTACGTGTGGGAGTCTCAGGCCGGAGGATCCTTCACTGTGACCAGAGACACCTCTGGTGAGGTCCTTGGTAGGGGTACGAAGATGACGCTTTACCTCAAGGAGGACCAGTTGGAGTACCTTAAGGTGCGACGCCTTAAGGATTTGGTGAAGAAGCACTCTGAGTTCATCAGCTACCCGATATCTCTTTGGGTCGAGAAGACTATTGAGAAGGAGATCTCTGACGATGAGGAAGAGGAAGAGAAGAAGGAAGAGGAAGGAAAGGTTGAGGAAGTGGACGAGGAGAAAGAAAAGGAGGAGAAGAAGAAGAAAAAGATTAAGGAGGTTTCTCACGAGTGGGATCTTGTGAACAAGCAGAAGCCAATCTGGATGAGGAAACCCAAGGAAATCAACAAGGAGGAGTATGCTGCTTTCTACAAGAGTCTCAGCAATGACTGGGAGGAGCATTTGGCTGTGAAGCACTTCTCTGTCGAAGGACAGCTCGAGTTCAAGGCTGTGCTGTTTGTCCCCAAGAGAGCTCCGTTCGATCTCTTTGACACGAAGAAGAAGCCCAACAACATCAAGCTCTACGTCCGCCATGTCTTCATCATGGACAACTGCGAAGAGATCATCCCTGAGTACCTTAGATTCGTGAAGGGTATCATCAACTCTGAGGACCTTCCTCTCAACATCTCTAGAGAAACTCTGCAGCAGAACAAGATCCTCAAGGTTATCCGCAAGAACCTTGTGATGAAGTGCATTGAGCTCTTCTTCGAGATTGCTGAGAACAAGGAAGACTACAACAAGTTTTACGAGGCCTTCTCCAAGAACCTGAAGCTCGGAATCCACGAGGACTCTCAGAACAGAACCAAGATTGCTGAGTTGCTCCGTTACCACTCCACCAAGAGCGGAGACGATCTGACCAGTCTCAAGGACTACGTGACGAGGATGAAGGAGGGACAAAACGACATCTACTACATTACAAGTGAGAGCAAGAAGGCTGTGGAGAACTCTCCTTTCCTTGAGAAGCTCAAGAAGAAGGGATATGAGGTCCTCTACATGGTTGACGCCATTGATGAGTACGCTATTGGTCAGCTGATAGGGCTCAGGTTTTACCCAAATAAAACTATGATAGGGTCAGGTTTTACCCAAATAAAACTACTGCAAGTGCACAGCAAAAGCAGTTGTAGTACAAGGGGTTATCGAATCCCAAGGGAGTATGTAAACCACACTAGCGATTATAGATTCAGATTAAGCTAAGCGATAAATAATGAATGTAATGCAAAACAGTAAAATAAATGCCAGAGGGCGTTTTTATGCTTGTTCTTAAAGTTCAGAAAGCTAAATGCGCTAAGTCAGGGCAGTTCGCAGGTTGAATCTGAGAGTGTAGAATGCATGCAATCAGGAATGAATTAAAACCATCTTGAACATGAATCGCAAATATATAACTAATCAATTCTCATTGCAGAAGTTATCTATGTCTAAATCACAGAGTTTCAAATCTCTTTGCAAAAGCCTAACAACCTAAACATGCAGTAATGATCAGGTTCAATTGTTCACAAAACTCCTAAGCCAAATCTCTTTGTACTAGGGCGTTTTGCTCATCTAATACTAGTTCAGGTGAATAATAATGCTCTCACATATATCAAAAACCTAGGGTTTCGAAATCCAGATGATGTGTCTAAGAAATCGATATGAATGCAAGCACAGATGAAGAACCAATGAATTTCCTATAAGTTTTTAGCAATTCTACAAACTCTTCTTCAACCTTTGAAAAGCCCTAACTTAACTAACAAACTACTCAGACATGGTGATTTGAGAAAACATCATGAAAAGAATAGATTGCATAAAAGAAATAAGAAGTATAAATAAAGGAGTTCAAAATCTGCTCTAAAGGAGTCTGATTTGTCTCTCCAAAAGCTCTTCTATAAATCTCTCTCTAAAGCTCTCAAAAATAATAAGATACAAGATCTCTGCCAAAAGAATGACTGAAGAACCTAATATACAAGCTAAAACACGATCTGGGGTCTTTTTGCAAATACTAGAACTTCTGGCCAAAACTGTAAATAATCTTCTATCTTTTAGTAAACAGCCACGACCCCTTCCTTTCTGGGTGACGAGCGTCACCAAAAGTGGTGATGAGCATCACCATATGGCATACTTTCTTCTTCGAGCTAGGTACTTCGTGGCTTCAACTCAAAATGCTCCAAAAGGTTCCAAAATCTCCAATTATGCTCCAGACATGCTTTAACCTGCAAAGACTCTTCTAGGACTCTAAAAAAACCAAAATGACTCAACAAAAATGACTTATATCATGGTTAAAAACCATAAAAACCATGATATATCAACTCCCCCAGACTTAGCTTTTGCTTGCCCTCAAGCAAACATCAGATAGAGTACAGGGTCGAGGTTTGAAAACAAGAAACAGTCAGTCAGTCATCAGGAACACCATACTAGTTAGAGCTTTCAAATCCACATACCACATAGTCAACACAAGATCAACTTTCAGTGTAATCATCACAAGCTTAGCATATCTCTCAAATCCAGTCCAAATCCCTTCAAGAAACCCGAAATTTCTACTGATAACTCCTTATTTTTATCTAAGTGTGATATCTCATCAAAGTTTTATCATCTTAATCACTTTACAGATTCTTTTCCCTTCCTAACAACTGAACAAATAGATCTCAACACAGCTCTCCTATTTTCTCTTCCCTTGATCTTTTCCTTAGGATATTTTTGATTTTTCACTTCTTTTTTCTCAACTATTACAGTCTAAGATATGATGCTACTCAATACTTGTGTTCCTTGTGAGGAGACAGGTTCTTGAGTGTGTTCACTACTGTTGTTCCTTGTGAGGAGACAGGGTCATAAATGCACTATTCTTTGGACTTAAACTTTTAAAAACTACATCAGAGAAGATCAAAGAGAGACTGTATCTTAACTTTATTGTCAGTGCTGAAAGAGAGAATCAAGATCAATAAGAATCAATCACCAAGACAAGAGGTTTAAAGTTCATTAAGGTGGAGCTAACAGCAAATTTTCCAGATTCTCTAAGAACCTAAACCTTCATTGCTAGACTGATCTACCTATGACTTTCAACTTAGTGAGACTTGTAATCAACTATTGTGGCAATGGTTCTTATCAGCAAAAACGTCATATGGTTAGTTCCAAGAAAAACTGACAATTTCAAATTTTTGACTCTAGAAAAACAGGTTTTTGACTCAACTTTAAGACTCTATAAACATGACACAAAGCACACAACGTCAGTAACCACCTCCCCCAGACTTAAACAACACTGTCCCCAGTGTTATTAAGCCAAGAGTTGGTCAAAATGAAGCATGAAAAGTTGTAGAACCAAGGTGGAAAAGTGGTACCTCACGAAGGATCTGGTGACGAACATCACCCAGCTGTGGTGATGATCGTCACCACTCTGAAACTTCAGAAATCGTCATGTTGGATGTTTAAATGCTATGCTATCATGTGTACTCCGAAGTCAAACTGTAAGAGCACTAAAAACACACATCAAAACATCCAAACAAAGCATAATCCATGGTCCAACAAGTTCACAAGACATCATCCAAGCAAACTGAACAAACTGACTCTTTTTTTTTTCGATTTTTTCTCATGTTTTTGGGTTTTTTTTAGCTATGTAATAGAAAACTAAACTAATATATGAAAAAGAAAACTTACCAGTGGGTTGCCTCCTACTAAGCGCTTGTTTAAAGTCATTAGCTCGACTTTGAATGCTGCTCAGACAGCTGGTGGAACAGAAGGTGGCAGTGAATGCCTTGGAGAAAAATGTCTCCTCATCCATGGTGGTTTGTAAGCAGTAGATGTATGAACAATTCCAAGGAAGTGAGGAACATCAGCACAGTGAGTCGTGAGTGTGGGTGGGACATTTCGTTTTCCTGCAGAATTATCAAAAGAAACACCAAGCATTCTACGAGAATCTCGTTGCTTGCATAAGTGTGAAGCATCTTTTGCTCCTTTTAAGTTCTTATTGATGAGATTAGGAGGTTTGGATTTGGTTCCAGGAAGTGCATACCTTTGCCTAGTTGCAGGTTTCTGGATTGTGGAATGGTGAATTTTCGGATTGGCAACATATGACGGACTTGTAGCTGTAAGTGCACGTCCCTCCTTTGTGTCCAGGTTGGTGACGAGCGTCACCAGGTCAGTGACGCTCGTCACTGACTCTGCAGTTCGAGTTTCTGCAGTTTTCCTGTAATTCAGCTCTGCAAGTATTGCTTCCATCACATACACGTCTTCCTCCAGCAACTTGGCATTCATTAGAACGTCTTTTTCAAGCCCAGTCATGAAGATATGATCCTCACTGCAATCCTCAAATCCAACAGCTTTTGCCGAAGTTTCAGATATTGCCTCTTTAATAGCCATCTTGTTCACTTGCCCACTTATATCAGATTCAGTGACACACTCAGCAATAGTGTCTTCTGAATGCTCCATGACAGTCTCTTCATCTCTAGAAGTTCTTACAGAAAAGGTCTGACCATCAATGGTAGAACTCCCTCTTAACTTATCCATGTCAAAGTTCATGACAACATCACCAAGATCAAGCTCAATGTTCCCCCTTCTAACATCAATGATGGCTCTAGAAGTAGCCAAGAATGGTCTTCCCAGAATAAGAGGATCTTTAGGTTCTTCAGCATATTTCAGAACCACAAAATCTGTAGGAATTATGCAGCCTTCAATGTTAACATGAACATTCTCTAACATGCCTTCTGGGGTTCTTATGAAACGATCTGCTAGGATGAGAGAGATCTCAGCTGGCTTGAAATTAGTCATTCCAAGTCTAGCAGCAACAGAGAAATGCATCAAGTTAATACTTGACCCTAGATCACATAGAGAGTGGGGAAAACGTCCTGCAAATATTGAGCAATCAAGCACAAAGGTCCCTGGATCAGATAGCTTCTCTGGAACTCTACTTTGAGTGATGGAATTGACTTGTTCAGAAACAGTCACCTTCTTCTTCTTCTTTGGAACTGTACTCAAAAAGATTGCACTGATGTCTCTGGTAAGCAATGCTCCTTCCTCAGGACTTACACCATTCACAACCATTCTCTTTACATACCTTCTTAGAGCTGGTGAAAGCTTGACTGCATCAACAAGTGGGATCTCAAGCATCAGCTTGTCTATCATAGCTTTACATCTGGATTCTTCTATCTCCTGTTTAGACTTCCTAAGATGCTTAGGGAATG